AGGGGCGCCTACGTGGGGGTTGAGCTGCTGTCACTTGATCCGAAGTGTTCCCATGGGCGGGGCCACTGAGGAACAGTGGCTGGTCCTGCAGGCCAGGCTGTCACTCTAAAAGCATTTGCACGTGGGCTGGGCTGCCCAGGCTTCCTCTCACAGTTGCACTTACCTGGCTCACTGCCGCCGGGGCAGAGGAGAAGTGCACTTCCCTATTTCCACTGCTTCCCAGGGATCCATTCCACCCACCTTCAGATGTGTGGCGGCATGGATATCTCAGGCATCCTGTTGTACTGTGTAGGGAATCCTCTCTTGATTAATGAATGTCTGTTTAGTTGTAACTTAAAGGGGAGAGACAAAGGGAACAACTCACTCTGCCATGATGCTGACATCACTCAAGATTAGTAAGATTTGATCCTTGTCCAGGAGGAGACAGACATGTAAACAGCTAACTCCAGTATGATTCAATATGTGCAATGATCGATATATGAATCGAATGCTGTGGGTGAAGCCGACCGTGGAGGGCCTTGCACATATGAGAGACTGAGGGATGACTATAAGCAGTGTGCTGACAGGACCAGATGTGTGTTTGGGATGGTAATTGTGGAGCAGTCTGAAGTATAGGCTAGACAGAGGAGAGACTGATGATGGGATGTGATAGTTACTCTCTGGAATTACAGTCCTAGACAAGTGCAGTGGGATGAGAGAGAAGGAAGTGTTACTTTTCACGGAGAGAATTAGCGAAGGCTTCCTCAGTGAGGCGATATTCAAACTTGTTCTTTAAACATGCACAGATGAAAGGGAGGGCATCTCATGGTTATATTACCATGGGAAAAAGTGGAAAGATCTAGCTTATTTTGGGAGTGGCTAGATTTATGAAGTGGCTGGAGCATAGGCTGTGTGAGAGAGAAAGCCATGGGAGGTTAGGCCTGATATACCAGGTTGCTTCAGGTAAGCAGAGCAAACCCACTGAAGGTTTTCAGTAGAGTGACTTAATCACAGCCTTAGGAATATTATTCTTGCAGTAGTGTGTAAGATAAATTGGAGTGGGGAGAGAGAGGTGGCTGAGAGATAATTCAGAAGACCATTGTGATGGCCCTGAGGTAATGGGGATCTGATACAGGGTAGTGGCCCTGGGCTGGATTACAGATGGTGGGAACCGTGTGTAGGTGGTAATAGTAAGGCAGACTACTGATTAGATGTGGGAAGTTGGTGAGAGGATGGAGAAAATTGATTCTAAGAATGTAAGCTCAGGTGATAATAGGAAACAGTTTTGCTTCCCTGGAGGAGGGCAAATATTTGTTCCTCTTGGAAAATCATGTAACTAACAATGTTTACTTTTTCACCTTGGCTTCTAGGAAGCACAGAATCAAATTCTCTGCTCAATTGTAGGATCTTATTGTCTCTGTATTTGAGTTCTATTCCAATATCTCTTATTCTAGCTACAGTCTTCATTTTCTTCTCTCTGCTTTCCTTTGTCATGATTTTTAGTATTCTTCTTTAGTACATGCATTTCTCATAAGCCACCTCAAATTCTTTCTTGAGTGAGATGAAGCCTAAATAAATAATGCCGCTGTGCTGTTTACCATATGAATGAGATATACTTAGAGTGTTTTAGGTCAGTACATAAATACAAGGACTCATTATATTTTAAATTTATATCTTCTTTGTTCTCTATGAACTTTGTCTTCATTGATAGTTTTTAGGCAAATGGTACATATAATCGTAGACTGTAAAACTAACTGAAAAATGATACAACAGCGAGAGCCAAGTTCATGAGTAAATATTTGCACATTGACCCTGTCCCCTCTGCTTCTTGCTCAGTTATTCATTTCCAGGTGTATGAATCTTCGCAATAAGAATTGGATTTTTTTTGTCAGTCATTCATAATTTCAATAGTTGATCCATGTGGAAACTTGGAGTCGAAGTTATTAATGGCCTGGGACTAATCGCTGGAATTTGAGCTACTGTGATCTAGTAATGCTTTTATTCCCAATCAATTTATGCAAACTCTATCTCAGAAGTCTGTGTAATATTTGTGGGTTGTTCACTGTTGAGCAATGAACAGATCACTGCTTAGGTAAAAAGAGTTGACCTCTTACTACCAATCGTTCTTAGATTTTGTTTTCTAAAGAAAAATCTTTTCTTTTTCATTCTGTGGAAGGAAACTTTTGCTTTCAGTGATCAGATGAGTAACTAGACTCTTTTATAACAAAAATCTTATAAATTAAAATAGCCAAATAAAGGGATATCTATTATTATTGGATTTGCCCTATATAATATAGCCTCTAGTAGAAGTTTTCTCCCAATTTTAAACTTGACAAAATGCCATGCTTCCCTCAAACTACCTTAGTTCTTCTAAAGTGGGAAGACTGCAGACCTGTGCAGATATAAATTTAAGTGGTACAAAAAACTTTGTAGAATCAAATGAATACCAAATGGGGTATTTTAGGAACTTTGTTTTAAAAATAGTAATTCCTAGATATAAGTCACTTTTGTTTGTTTCAGACTGGTGACCTACTTTCTATTTACATGAAGTGTCAAGTGTTGACTTCAAAATATCTTTGTGATTCAATTTGTATAAGAAAAAGTGAATTCAGTTAAATAACACAGTGGCGTTTGCTTATTTAGACCCCATCTCATTCCACAAAAAGAAATGCAGTCATTCTAAATGTGGCAGTAACGCTTCTGTACCTTTTCTGTGTGTGCCACACATAGGGAGTTTGCTGTCATGGTGTTGCTGAGGCCAGCTCTTCTGCCTCGTGTCCATGTTAAATTTCTTGGTTTTCATTAGAGCTTTTCAGCCCTGCTCAAACATATCATTGGTTATTGTAAAAAAAAAATCCTTAGGATTTTATTACATTTGACAGAATCTTCTATCAGGAACCATAGGCTGAATTTGTTTCTGATGTAAGTATCAAAAATAGTTGTTCTTTCTCTGAGCAACTGGTTTATTTTTACCCTGTGGACACTGAATCTTTTAGCAGATCGTGTTTCCCTCTGGGTGTTGGCTGCAGCAAAGCTGAGTCCCTCCCTCCCCACTCCTCCCCACTCCTCCCCGTTAAATGTCTACAACACCTCTCCTCTGGCTCTCATTCTACCTTGTGGCTACAGTGATTGGTGCACTTATCTTTTTCTACTAGTTTAAAAGCTGTTTGAAGACAAGGAGTCTACTACTTTTCTTATATTCTTTACAGTGCTATCATAGTGCCTTGCACACATTTGGCACTCAAATAATGGCTGAATTGAGTATTCTTAGGCCATTCGAAAATAGCTCCATGTTGAGCCTTCCATGGCGATAAGGATAAGGAGAAAGAATTATGTAGTATGCCAGTGAAGGTTTTCAAATATGCTGAGGGTCACAGGGATTGTCTGTTGGAAAATGTGGTTCAATGAAAGGAGATGTTCCTAAGGATGAGAGAAGAATGTTGAATATAGGAGCCACATATGCTGTTTTCCGCTTTGTATCGTATCTAAACATATTGCTGTAACAAAGGGAGCCTGGCATCTCCTAACTTTGCTTCAGATAAGAAAGATTAGTTCTTTCCTCTCATAGAAAAAAGGTAAGAGGTTTGTTACGTGAGGAACAATTTAATCAGTGAAGGTTTAGAAGTTAGCTTTGAGATCTATGCATACAAATAGTGTAGATCACTGGGTAATGTCTAAAATAGTTGTACTATCATCTCTAAAATGTCTAAAAATAGTTGTAATAAAATGGTTGTGAGCCATAGCCAATGGTTCATGTATTCAACTGTTATTCTGTATGATTAAATTCCACTACAACTAAAGAATCTAGACAGACCCATGGAGTGAATTGTAATAGTATGTAACATGTGATCAAAACTCTTTGATAGGAAAGTCCATTGAAGTGAAAATGAACCTAGTTAACTGGAGGCAAAAGATCATCAACTTTAGACATTGAGTTGGTAATACTTTATAATGAAGTTCACAAAATCTATATTTGGTGTGTTGAGAAGGAGAAACTTTTTTTTTTTGAGGACGATTAGCCCTGAGCTAACATCTGCTGCCAACCGTCTTCTTTTTGCTGAGGAAGATTGGCCCTGAGCTAATATCCATGCCCATCTTCCTCTACTTTATGTCAAGCATGGCTTGACAAGTGACGTGTAGGTCCACACCCGGCATATGTACTGGTGAGCCCTGGGCCGCCAAAGCAGAATGTGCAAACTTGACTGCTGTGCCACTGTGCCAGCCCCAGAAACTTTTTTTCTTTTTTTTTAAATTTAAATATGTTATATTTTATGAGTTATCACATGTTATTGGTAAATGTCATGATTCCAATAGTAAAACTTTAAATAATTAGTTGCTTGGAAACATACTAACAGAGAAAGAACTTCTCTGCATTGTACTTCTCTCTTTCTTCTCCTTTGAAAACCAAAGCATAAGATTTGTTTAATTAAAAAAACAAACCCCAAAAGCAAAAACTGTGCTTTCCAGGAATTTCATTTTTTTAAAACTTTGCTAAGTGTCTTAAAAGAATGTCTTTGAAGTAGTACGTAGTTGAAAATACGCCTTTAAGGATCCTTTATTGAATTAATGAAATACCAGTTATTTAGCATAATACTAATTCTATTATTTAGTTTCAAGTTTACTTCTAAACCATATTTTCTTCAAATGAAGCTTAAATAGTGTGTTTGACATACAAATATGTTCTAACTCTGCTAGGACCAAATGAAAAATCTAGACCTTAGTTTCTGGGTGTAACTAATGGGAATACCCATTCTATTAATGATAGAAGATTATGTTCTGTGAAGCTATGCACAAGTAGTTAGAAGGGGGTGGCATGGCCTTGAAACACTGACTCTGGAGTCTGACTGCCTCATAGGGTTCCTATGAGGATTAAATGTTCATTATTCATGACAAGGATTTAGAAGAGTGTCTGGCACCAAGTAAGTGCTATGTAAGTGTTTGCTGTTTTTATTATTGCTATTATATAGCTTAAGCCATTTATCTATGTAATTAAAAAAAATTATTTTTATTGCTTCCAATAGGGTTTGAGGCTCCTCTGAACTGACTGAAAGGGCTTCTGCTGTTAAAAGCTACAAAAAAGCTAAAGAGTTCTGCAGTCCTGTTTCCCTCTAAGATGACGTGAGCTGAACTCTGTGGTCCTCCATTTCCTCATCTGTAAGGGCACAGTACCATGGCGATGGATCGCTGATATCTCTTCAAGCCACAGCAATTGTGTGATGCTTTGTTCTTGCCTTCTGCTTATGCAAGAAGATTGAGATTGTTTGTGTCAAATTCCTTGATCTAGAATAGTAGAATTTTAGAAGTAGAAGGAGCATTAGCCAAATAGTACACTCTCTGGGGAACTTATCCCTTCTTTTAGCTTCAATTAGTGTTTTTGTTTTTTTTTTAAGATTAGTATCAGTCTTTGTTTTTGCTTTTATCTTTTTTTCCAAAGCACTTTTTACATTCTTTGTAATGTATTTATTTATAGCTTCACAAGCACAGAGATCTTTATCTTTTTTGTTCAGGTGCCTGCCGCATAGTAGATGCCAGGTAGGAGCTCAGTAAATATTGTCGGACAATTGAATGAACCTTAAGTTGCCTAGTGAACATTTCTGTTAATTGATCACATATGATTGTCTTCTAAAACAGCTCTGCTTCGTGATTTCCTTATTTGCACCAATGATACTACTTTCATGTTACCGAGAGCAAAATCCTAGAGGAGTTGGCAGCCACACCTGGGAAAGAGAAAATTAGATGATTTTTCAGGGGGATTTAGACAGTCGCTCCCACCAAGGCTCTAGGTGCAGAAATAGTGACAGTACGTTTTCACACAGGTGGGTGGGCCTGAATCTTCTCAAACAGAGCCTTATGAGCCAGAACTAGAGGTAACTGCCTAACTGCCCAGGACATCAATTCACGTTGCCTAAACTTTTTACTAAATCATAGCTTCTCCTGGGTCAATATTCCTAATATGCTCCCTTTGTCATGCTTGTCCCTTCGGAGCTTCCTTGTTGCTTCTAAACAAAGTCCCAACTCTGCAGCCTGGCATCTGGTGAAAGCTCATAAGACTTTCCAGTTTTGTCTCACACTAGTGCTCCTTGTCAGTTCTCTCCTCAGCTGAGGCCTCTTCCTTAGTGTCTCCTAAAGCATTCCGTTCTTGCTTTGAAGTCCCGCTGTTCACCCTGTGCTGTCGTTCATCGTGTGGTAGGTTTTCCTTCTTCACCCATCCGAATCTATCTTACTTAATCGACTAGGGAAGCTTTTCAGCCCTTACTCACATGAAGCCCTCTGTATCATGTTTTTGGGCTCCCAAATTCTGCATTATCCTTAAATAGTCCATTTGCATATTTATTACCTTTATGACAGTCTTTTTGAGGGAAGGGACCAATGGAATAATGGATTTGGGGGTTAGGAAATGAATCACAAATCTTAGCTGAAGCAAAACCTGCGTAACTGTGGTACAAAACCGACTTCGTGTAAGTGTGTTCACCAGCTTGTGATGAAGTGTTCAAGGGCTTTAGAAAATGCTAAGATCGAGTCCTTCCTACTTGGTTTTGGCGTTAAAATGTCCTTTAAAAAAATTAAATGATGGGGGCTGGCCCCGTGGCTGAGTGGTTAAGTTCGCGCGCTCCGCTGCAGGCGGCCCAGTGTTTCGTTGGTTCGAATCCTGGGCGCGGACATGGCACTGCTCGTTAAACCACGCTGAGGCAGCGTCCCACATGCCACAACTAGAAGGACCCACAACGAAGAATATACAACCATGTACGGGGGGGCTTTGGGGAGAAAAAGGAAATAAAATAAAATCTTTAAAAAAAAAAAATTAAATGATGGTAATAATATCTAATAATAGTAATGGCTTTAAAAGTATTATCTTTACTTGGAAAAATAGAAAGTTGGCCATTGAATTGGTCGTGTGTGTGTGTGTGCACGCGTGCGTGCGTATATATGTAATTTTACTGGTTTGTGAAATCAGGAAGTCTAGGAAAGACTAGTCTTGGTGGCTGCTAATCATGGAAGCATACATACCCCCTCCCTTTACCTTCCACCTGGTGGCCTTTCCCTCCCCTGCTCAATCACACTGTATGCATTTTTTAGGGTTTCAGACATTGGCTTAAGGTTCTCAGGCTGTGGTTTGACTCTGCAGAATGCATGAAAGTTACCTTCCAAATATGCAAAAGACTTTCCTTCTCTTTCTTGAACTTCAAAGAATATTTTTTCTTATTCAGTGCAGATTAATCTAGACAATGGCATTCCATGCCCTTTCCAAGTAAATTAGCTTTATTCATATCATCAAAAGAGAAATTTTGTATGGCTTTCTAATTTTTCAGGCTGATTGAAAAACTCAGTGAGGGCACAAAAGACGTTAATTTGTTCGTTCTCTTTCCAAAATCTTGAACTATTTATTTTCTTTTTCCATATTGTAAAGCAAGTTAACATTCTCCTCCTTTTTCCCATTGTTCCACAATTTCAAGTTTTCATTGAATATGCTATATGTTTACTCTTGGATTTTGACATTTTAATTATTAGGAGTATTTGATCACATTTAATCTTAATAATATTCAACAATACCACACAGCTCACATCGGTGCCAATGCTGACAGAATGACAGGTAGTGCGAGCCAATATTGTGTTTTGCACAGCTGGTTGGTGAAGGGAAAGGCAGTGTGTTATCGCGTTAGAGCAGACACAATGTGGTATCTCTTGGTTACTGTGCAGTTCCAGGCAATAGATACCTACTGTTTTAGTCAGAGTTTGTTGGTTGCAAAGAACAGAAAGCCATTCAAGTTAACTTAAATAAAATAACCTTCAAAACGTAGGATTTAACGGCCAATCTCAGTGACACCAATGGACCTGTTAGGGACTATGGCATGGGCTAAAAGTTAAGAATCGTGGTCACATTGCCTCCTCTCTCTTTCTGTCTTTTTCTGCTTCTCTATTCCGTTCTCCTTTATATGGGCCAAAATATTTATACCTGCCAGCAATGACATGATCTTTTGGTTTTGGGCCGTGTTAGAGCATATATTTCTCATAAGTCAGATTCTCAGAAGCAACAACTTGATTTGCTTAATTCAGCCTATGGATCTATTCCCTCTGGATCAGATAGTACCCTGGGTTCACTGACCTGTTGAGGTTGGGGTTGGGGTTGGGGAAGACTTATCGTGGTACAGATCGGGCAGCTTTTAATTGGATATTGCACCTCCTGCATTGATTCTTTGTTTCTAATCTATTCTTTCATGTTTTCTATCCTTTTGTCTTTTCGTTACACTTTCTGAGAGATTTCCTCATTGTTATTTTATAGTACACTTTTACTGAATTTTTATTTTGGTAATCATATTTTCAAAAATGTTTTGTATGTTCTTTATTGTTCTCTAATCATTTTATTTTCATTGTCTCGTTTTTGTTTAATGGTTATTGTATCTTCTTGCGTCTTTGAGTTGTATTAGCATCATTTCTCTTTCTTTTTGATGAGGAAGATTGTCCCTGAGCTAACATCTGTTGCCAATATTCCTCTTTTTGCTTGAGGAAGATTGTCTCTGAGCTGACATCTGTGCCAGTCTTCCCCTGCTTTTTGTATGTGGGACACTGCCACAGCATGGCTTGATGAGCAGTGTGTAGTGTAGGTCTGTGCTTGGGATCTGAACCTGTGAACCCTGGGCTGTTGAATCAGAATGCGTGAACTTAATTGCGCTACCACAGGCCTGGCCCCTAGAATTATGTCTTTTTAAATTGCTTGTCTGTTTCCTGAATTAACTGTTTCTCTCACTGTCAGTTTTCCCCCCCCTATTGTTAGTGATTTCCCTTGTAGGGTTGGCTGCCTGTGTGTTCATAATTAAGAATGGAGGACTGGAGAGAGTTTCCTCCACTATTTTTTTTTTTGCTGAGGAAGATTCACCCTGAGCTCTAACATCTGTTGCCAATCTTCTTCTTTTTGTATGTGAGCCACCGTGACAGCATGACCACTGACAGTTGAGTGGTGTAAGTCTGTGCCTGGGAACTGAACCTGGGGCTGCTGAAGTGGCGTGTGCCGAACTTAACCACTAGGCCGCTGGGGCTGGCCTATCCTCCACTATTTTAAAAAGATCTGTATGTAGAGATTCCCACCCCCCCAACAGCTGCATCTCTCCCTGAGTAGCAATTCCAAATAGAGCTCAGTGTGTGTGTGTAGGGTACTGGGTTGTCTGCTGGCCAGCTTTGCTTCACCCTAAAAGGGCCCTAATGAGGAGGATTTACTCTGAGGGACCAAAATATACATCGGAAGCCTTCACAAACCGTCTCTTGCTCCCTGCCATCATGATTGGTTCCTTTAGAGGTGAACCCCTAGATGTTTTGTCTGTCATTCCACTCGGCAAAAGCTGCCCGAAGGCTGTGTTCGAGGGTAGGGGAGTTGGGGCGGGAGTGCTAACTGTCATCACTTCGCCCCCCTGTTCTGGCCCCCTGTCATCCTCCCTACTCTGTGACACCTGTTGACTCTGAGCCATGAGCCTCCCTGGGATTCTCTTGAGCAGATTGCCTCCTGTGTGGCCCCTGGGCAGCAGCTTTGTCCTCACTGCTCATCTGTCAGCTCATTCTCATTTCCTGTTCTGTCTTCCAGAAATTTGTTGAAATCTCTTGTCCATTTAAAATTCTCTTCCAGCCAACTCTTTTTAATCTTATAGAATTCTTCTGTTTTTGTCTTCTGATACTTTCACATCATTAGGGATTCAGGAGGGACAACCATGCCATGGACCGTCTTGAAATTGAAGCCTCGTCAGGTTGTTCTTTTAAAAAATAGCATTTGGTTTTTGGCTTTAATTTTACTTTTTAAAATGAGAGATATATCATACATACACACTCACAAATAAAAAAATATGTATCAGTGTATGTTTAAAGTAAAATAATAAAATGAACACTGGTACCTACTAGCTTTGAGAAATGGAATATTATATTTTTAGTACCTTAGAAACTTCTGTATGTCCTTCCTTGATTGCCTCTTCTTCATCCTCTCTGCCTCTTGTGGTGACCATTATACTTCATTTTTTAGTCATTCCCTTGCTTTTTTAAAAAATGGATTTGCCTTATGTGTTGGTTAATTCTCTAAAAGTATATTGGTTAACTTTAGCTGCTTTTGTTCTTTTAATTAGAATCATATATAACATGTACTCTTTGGTACCTTCCTGTTTTTACTCAAGAAT